CCAGTTTAAGGGTATTACACAGAAACATTCCATAATAACATGAATCGAATATGTAATTTATTCATTTACATTAAATGTCATAAGATACATCATTCTGATTGGATCTAAGGGCATACACTGTCTAACAAAAGGGAGCTAAAAACATTGCCAAGAACACTAAATTCTCGAAAATATTTCACGACAGAAAATACTATGCCAAAGACAAGGGGGCTGGCAATAAAAACCACAACCTCAATTATCTTTGGCATAGCATTTCCTATCAAGAAACAAGGGGGCTGAAATCAAAATTAACACAACAAACTGCCCTAACAAAAACCACCCCGTCAATAACAGGGGGGCTAGAAATCGAATTGCCAATCCATAGCTATCTTTTAACAAGCTACTTCCTATTGAGGTGCAGGGGGGATGAGAACCCTTGCTAAATGACCCAACTTGGAACTGCCCCTTGATAGAAAGCACCCTATCAAAAGCCAAGGGGTTGAACACATCAGCACAACCAACCCAACTAACTAGTGCCAAATTTCAAAAAGAACGAGAGAATAACTCAAATCAACCACTCCCGGTCCTCGCCCAAACAACACCAAGATATAGTAATACAAAAATGCTTATTGATAAGCTCACACTTATCATTAAGCAGGGGGAAAAATAACCTACCCAAATTAAAAATTCTTGATGTACACAGTCTTCCATGCACCCCAATCGAGGTGCCATGACACCTACGGTCCCCCATTCTCATCACTCTGTCACAGACCTCCAAAGCAAACCCAATGACAAATTCTTATCGGTAAGATCCCACTTACCAAAGGGGGGCTAATGTAGGTATATGTTGATTGCCATGACTGTGGGGACATAGAAGGTGCTAAACCGACACCACAAGAACACCCATAATGAGTTCATGACTCAGCTCACATCCACGATGAGCTCAGAACCCACAAAGATTTGCGATGAGCTCAAAACCTGAAATGAGCTTGCGATGAGCTCAAGACCACCACAGGCCCGCAATAGACCTAGAACCGCAATAACGAAAGCAAACTCAGAGCCATTGTGAACCTACGATGAACATAAGGCCATTGTGAGGTTGCAATGAGCTCAGATCCATTGCAGACTTGCGATGAGCACGAAGCTATCGTAGATTTGCGATGAACTCAAAACTACCGTGAACCTACGATGAGCTCAAACTCATCGCAGATCTGCAATGAGTCCAGGACCATTGCAAGTCACAACGAGTAAAGAAACACGTGCTTCATTAATAACGTGCATGACAGAAYGTCTAGTAGCATTAGAAAAGACATAAGAGATAAGTATTGACATCACCTGCGCCACATCAGTCTAAGAGACTCATGAAAGGAAGTAGCACACATGTATTATGAGAATTCTTAGATGAAAGGAAATCTCATCCTTGAGATATCTCATAAGACACATGGTGAAACTCCAGCGGTGTTCTCTGACAACTGACACCGAATCCAAGATTCCCTTCCCAAGTGGAATCAAACACTTTTAGCTCATTCCTTTCGGGACCTCGGGATCTCTCCCTATAAATAGAGGTCCAACTCATAACATGGACATCATTCTATCACTTTGTTCACCCTAGCCTTTAGCTTAACCTTCCTTCATCTTTCAAGGAGACCCTCATACGTAGCCTTACATCTCTACTCACAAAGGGTATTCAAAACAATGGAGAATATAATTTTTGTTGGAAAGAGATGTGTGTCGTCGTTCTCTGATTGGGTAACTCACATTCGATTTGTTGAAAAAAGAAAACTAGAAAGAACATTAAGAAAGAAGAACGGCCAGAAAATGTATCGCAAGATGAAAGCCCTCTCACTGTCGGTAGCTTTTGAGTTGACTGATGCCGATGTGGGTTGAGCTTACCGGTGCTTGTGGGGTAGGGTTCGGTGGAAGAGAAAAATGGGAGGGAGGAGTGAGAGTTTGAATGAAATTTGGAATGGTCAATTTTTGTTATTTTGTGTCCAGTTGAACCGGCCACTTCAGGTTAACGGCCAAAGGCACGTTAACATTACCATCTATGTCACCTAGCCAATGTGGTCACCTCTGGTTGGCAGGTTCACGYAGCCCATGAACCCATGGGTGCACAAAACACAGACTCCACCCCGAACTCCCTCGAGGCCCAAGTCCTAGTTGTTCAACTAACTTTCACCAAAATATAGACTATAGATATGGGCCCGGTCCACCCAATCCATCCTTTTTCCTTAATACATAGATACTCATTAAAATCTTGGCAAATTTACTACTCAAGCCTGGGCATCAGACCTGGCAAAAAGTTGACCTGACCCAACCCAACCCGAAAAAACAGGGTTAGGGTCTCATATTTAGCTACCCGAATGTGAAAATGACCCGACCCGACCCAACCCCAAAAAAACTGGGTTGGGTTAGGTTGGGTCATGGGTCAACCCATTGACCCGATTGTTAAGTCTAATTGGGATTATTTATGCATTGTTAGAAGTTTCCACTCTTTAATATTTTCTATTTAGTCTTTACTTTTTATTGTTTACTCTTTAAATTGTTAAATGTTCAAGTTTTTTATTTTATATTTGAAATTTTAAGGTTAATTCTTTTAATTTTGACATTTTTTATTTATTTTTTCTTAATTTTTTTAAATTTCAATTATTTTTTGGGATGACCCGAATTGACCCATGGGTCAACCCTAACCCGGACATTTAGGGTTAGGGTCTAGCATTTGACAACCCAACCCGAAATTCAACTTGACCCAAAATCAACCTGAAGTACCTTGACCCAACCTGAACCCGACCCACCCAACCCAATTGCCAGGTCTACTAGGCATAAAAAATAAACACCGAAACCACAGTACTCAAATAAAAAATACCAATTTTTACTCATGGCAATTTCAAATTTCCCTTCACTCCACTAGCCCACATGCACATCACCCATGTGTATGATCCAAGATGTCCCTGCACCAAAG